CTTGGATACATCTGAATGTCATAGCACTTCCTAGATTATTGACAGGAAGCAGTTGTGGCTATGCCTAAGGAATGTGCCACAGACTGAGTGGGGTCCACACATCACTGCAGCTGTATGACCCACCGCATAAGGCAGGGATTTCCTGAGGTGAACTGCACATAGCTAAGGCACAAAGTCTGTTGTGAGGTTGGTACTCACTCCAAATGCTGGGATATATTGTCCAAACAGTACTTAAATTTGCACTGTAATTAAAACCACCGAATTAAACAAATCCTTCTGTGTTTACACTTATGAATACTATTCTTTAACTGTGTCAAAAAGAAGGTACTGGACTACTGGAGACAGAATTTGCAATAGGGACTTGAACCCCAGCATCAGCATTGGTAGGGATACCTCAATTGCCAAGTTTTCTTACATGAACCTCCTGCCATGACCTACTGTTCCAGAGGTATAGGGGGAGACTTCAGTGTGAAGTCACACACAAGCCTCCCTACACAGGAGCTTGGGAACAACACAGGCCCTTAAGAAATGCTGGAGCTACTCAGAAATACTAGATGGCCCTCAGATGACAGGCAGTTCTCATTTGACACCATGTACTACCCTGTAAATAAGTGTACGTCTGATTACATTTTAGAATACGTGGCGTCTTCTGACTGTTCAAATAATCTTCTAGGCACCCTTGGCCATGTCCTATTCTATCACAGTTACTACTATTTCCATTTTACTATGAATACAATTATTTCCCCATGGAGCCTCTAAGGTATCTGTTTGCAACCTGCTGTCAGAATAAAAGCAAAAATAAAACTGCTTGATTTTCCACAGTGTCTATAATTTTAAGACTTGGTGATGATAGGTTCAGATGGAAATCATGGGGAAATTTAAATGATCTGAAAACCTTACCATATATTTCCCATCTTGGGGAATAGAAACCAAATCTTCCATGAATGAATTGACTACCTCAGAAAGTTGGGAAAACAAGGTGTCTACTGTTTCCAGCGTCCAATGTGTTAACGCTCTGGAAGGGTACAGGTAATTCACAGTTTTACATAATCATATTGGAAATTTGCAACCTTGTAAAGATTACAGTGCAACTCAATCCCATGCAATGATTCCTTTGCAGGTCTTTCTTGTTCCCCATTTTGTGGAAACTCCAAGTTTCCATTGTGTACAAGCAAGGTGATGTCATCTAAGGTCTCTGTTCTAACTCCTTTCCATTGGCAACAGGGTCCTTATCTGTTTTCTGCTTTCTGTTGCTGTTTTCTTGTTCATGTTGCCTGCATGCTCACTGCTGTGAACTCTTTGACTCCGCTGAAGGTAGGAAAGCTGCTGTGTTTACCTGTGAGTTAGAGAGGGATCAATGGGAAAAGTGTTGGTTGGTGCTGATTCAGTGTTAATGATAACAGATTTCAGGAATCTGGAAAAGGAAAAGAAAATCTACTTTTCTAGGTCTGACCATTCTCTGGATACTATTATAGTGACTGAAGCTATCTGTCAAGAAGTTTTGGTGACCAAAGCGACTATAGAATGTGAGATTACTGATATCAAGGCAAACAGAGTAAGTGAAAAGCACAGTGTGAATATGAAGACCAAGAGATCCACTGCCTTAATGTTCCCTAACACCAGGTTGAGGTTGAGGTCAGTGACATATGCTAACCACAGTGAACCTGCATTTTAGGCACAATATAGACACCAGGAGTCTGTTGGTTTAACTTTCAGTATCTCCCAAATTTCTGCTTTTATTTGGGCAAATATTTCCCGAACAACCATATGAGTCCAGTTGACACAAACCTTGAAATCACCAGCACTTACTCACCAAGCTATGGTCTTCTGATTATGATCAGTGAGAAAAGAATTTAAACAGGCCAGGATGGAAAGACCAGATCAAGGCCGAAGCTGTGACAAGTTTATTGCTAGCAATCCAAACTTTTATATTTATCATTCTGATTAGAGGATTAAAAAGTGTAAGGAAACCTTATATTTTACAAAGATGCTAAATCTATACAATGGAGAAAAGATAACATCTTCAACAAATGGTGCTGGCACAACTGGATTCAGACATGCAGAAGATTGCATAGAGATCCGTATCTGTCAACATGCACAAAACTGGATCAAAGATCTCAACATAAATCCAGCCACACTGAATCTTCTAGAAGAGAAAGTGGGAGATACCTTTGAACGAATTGGCTCAGGAGACTGCTTCCTAAACATTACAACAGAGGCACAGGCATTGAGATCTGCAATTAATAAATGGGACCTCCGGAAACTGAGAATCTTCTGTAAGGCAAAGGACACAGTCAGTAAGATAAAATGACAGCCCACAGAATGGGAAAAGATCTTCACCAACACCACATCTGACAGAGGGCTGATTCCTGAAATATACAATGAACTGAAGAAGCTAGCCACCAAAACACCAATCAATGAAATAAAATAGTGAGCTGCAGAACTGAATAGAGAATTCTAAACAGAGGAATCTGAAATGGCTGAAAGGAACTTAAGAAAGTGCTCAGAATCCTTGGCCATAAGAGAAATGCAACTCAAAGCAGTTCTGAGATAATATCTTACACGGGCCAGAATGTTTAAAATCAAAAACACCAGTGACAATCTATGCTGGAGAGGATGTGGAGAAAAAGGAACACTCCTCCATTGCTGGTGGGAGTGCAAACTTGTAAGACCACTTTGGAAATCAGTATGGTGGTTGCTCAGAAAAATGGGAATCAATCTTCCTCAAGATCCAGCAATTCCTCTCCAGGGCATATACCCAGATAATGCACATACACACAACAAGGACATATGTTCAACCATGTTAATAGCAGCATTGTTTGTAACAGCCAGAACCTAAGATGCCCTCGACTGAAGAATGGATAGAGAAAATGTGGTACATTTATACAATGGAGTTCTACTCAGCAGAAAAAAGCAATGAAATCTTGAAATTCCCAGGCAAATGGATGGAACTAGAAGAAACCATCTTGAGTGAGGTAACCCAGTCACATAAAGACAAACAAGTTATGTACTTACTCATATATGAATTTTAGACATAAAGCAAAGGATTACCAGCCTACAATCCTCTTCACCAAAGAAAGTAGGTAGCAAGAGGTACTCTAAGGGAAAAATGCATGGACCCCAGAGAATGGGAAGGGGCAGGAACTCCTGAGGTAATTGGGAGCATGAGGGTAGGGGAAAGGGAGGTGCCAGAATGAGTGGAGGAGAAGAGGAGAGGAGGAAATGGAAGAGCAGAAATGTTGAATTGAGAGAAGAATAGAGGAGAGCAGGTTCAAGGAGAGATTTGGCACTAGGGAGATTTTCAGAGATCTACAAGGATGATACCATCTGACAATCTAGGCAATGGTAGAGAGGATAACCTACATGCCTTCCCCTATAATGAGAATGATGACTACCTTTATGCCATCCTAGAGCTCTCATCCAGTGGCCAATGGAAGCACAGGCAGACACCCACAGATGTACACTGAATGACCTCTGGAACTTAGTTGCAGAGAGGGAGGAATGAAGATCAAAGGGTTTGGTACCAGGCTGGTGAAACCCACAGAAATAACTGGCCAGTACAAGGGGGAGAACATGGACCCCAGACTGCTGTCTGGGAGACCAGTCCAGGACTGATCCAGACCCTGAACATGGATGTCAATTAGGAGGCCTCGGAACTCTAGGGGGCCCCTGGTAATGGATCAGTATTTTTCTCTGGTGTAATAAGGGACTTTGAGAGCCCATCCCACATGAAGAGATGCTCTCTCAGCCTGGACACATCGGGGAAGGCTTAGGCCCAGCCCAGGATGATGTGGTGGACTTTGGGGAGCCCCCTACCCTGCCTGGGGATTGGAGGGTGGATGGTGTGGGAGTGATGGGGAGGGGGAGGGGAGGGAGAGGGAGAAGTGATTGACCTGTGAAGCAAGCTTGTTCCTAATTTGAACTAATAAAAAATATAAAAAAGTGTAGGGGAAGCTGTAGCCACGCCTACTTAGGGGCTGGGTACAGGTGTGCCTGACCATGCTTTTGAGGGCGTGGTCAGGGTGAAGTAGAGCAATACTTGCATGGGACTGTGTTTTTTCTTTCGGTTTCACTTTTGTACTTGTTGTACAGACTGCTGCCACGCTGGCTGGCTAGGTTGCTCTGCAAGTAAGGCTTTTCCCTATTAAATACCCTTATATTTCTACCTGACTCCATATTGGTAATTTCCCACTATATCTGGTTGTCAAGAGCAGTATATTGGAAACCTACACCCCATTTGGGACAGGCTATGGGTCGGGCTGGCTACAGCTTCCCCTACAAAAAAAGTGTAAGGACATTTTCGAGAACAATGAAGCCATTAATCAGTAGGACGGAAATCAGATGAGGACTAGAGGGAAATGAACGAGACACACTGACTGCAATCACATTGTTCAGCACAGTCTACATGGAGCTCAGCAGGCTGACCTCTGAGGTCTCTGCCATCTATTATTGTTCATCAACACTTCAGCTGTGTTCTGACATCTGAGATGTGTCAGAAACATTGAAGTGGCAGGAAACTAACTTGGGGTGTAAGGGCAGGGAATAGTTACCTGAAGACTTTCTCAAAACGTGTGATCAAGTACTGAGGGAATGAACACACTATACCCAAGATTCAGAGAGCAGGAGTTTTAAATTAGAGAGCTTGTTCCACACATTCCCTTGTCAATATCAATGTGAATGTGTTTCTACCACAATTGAGTCACTAATTTATAGTACCAATGTACTGATGTTACATCCTCAGCTTGTGCACTTGGATCCAGGGAGGAGTAAATTATCCATTTCCTCAGAGATGATGCGGACTTGGCCCTCAGCATCCAGCTGTGCAACCCAGGTCTCCTCCACCTCTTTCTCTAGCTGGACTGGGACCTTATCTAAGAAATACAATGCTCATGAATATGTAAATTACCTAAATCTATGGTGGTATATACAAAGATGTTCACACCATCAACAACATATGGTCAGTGTCCTCTCCATAATCACTTAGAACACAGGTCCTCATCATGGGGTGGAGCTAGATCATTGTCTTCCTCCTGTCAGTAATTACAGGTAAGGAATTCCCAGTTCCTAACCTGAAGAAAGAACAGGGGCTGATGATGACAATGACATCCAATCTCCCTTTCTCTCTAAAGGTGTCCATTCCCAAGTCCAGCTGCAGCAGTCTGGGCCTGAGATTGTAAAGACAGGAGCCACGACACAGTTTTCCTGCAAGACTTCAGGGTACGCCGTCATTGGCTACTATATTCACTGGGTGAATCAGATTCCTGGACAGGGCCTGCAGTGGATTGGAAGAATTTATCCTGGAATTGGTAATACTGACTACAATCAAAAGTTCCAGGGCAAGGCCACACTGACTGTAGACACATCCTCCAGCACAGCCTACATGGAGCTCAGCAGCCTGACATCTGAGGACTCTGCAGTCTATTACTGTGCAAGAGACACAGAGTTGCAACCACATCCTGAGTGTGTCAGAAACCCGGGAGGAGCAGGAAGCTGCCCTGGGACCGACACGACAGAGAAGATCAGCCTGGAGACTTGCTCAGAAATAATCATTCTGAATGTCCCTTTGTCATTCACCGTCTTATAAGGAAGCTCTTTGTCAGATTTTCAAAGGACTGCTGGGAATAAAGCTTTGTTGCTTCAGGATGCCCTTATTATACAACATACCTTGATCAGCCTTGTGACAGTGAACACCTCCATTGACATGTTTTTTATCTAATAAAGCAAAATAATACAATCTATAGCAAAACATCATGAAATACATATCTCTTAAATCTAAGGGTCTGTAGCTGTTGCTGGGGTAGATGGAAATAAGCTATAATATAGATTACTCCAGTAAGAGACAATTCAACAGCATGTGGCCAAATTAAAGCCTATTTCCTAGTCCAATTTTGTTTGCCTTCAGCAAGGGAAAGCAGTTTGTTGGAAGGGTACTCATTGATTTGGGGGGGAGGTGTCATGTGGACATAATGATAAGAGAGACCCCAGTCTTCATAGAATTTGCATGAATGCATGGTAGGCAGGGTAAGAGTTTGGGAGATGTTGTAAGAGTGGATCAGCATCTATCGGTAACAAGAAGAACAGATAAGAAGCATCGGGGAGATCGTGACTGAAAGAGAGTTATATACATAGAGACATAGAGTCAGAGAGACAGAGAACTTAAAGATGACTGGATACTGGGGACAAATATCTGGCAAGAGATTGATGTGGTATATGATAAAAATGTATTGTGTGAAAAACAGTGATTATTATGAAATTTTTTATGGTTCATTAAAATCCAAAAATCCAGTGTGCAAATGTTAAAAACAATATGGGAACCTGAGCCAAATCATAAGCCACTGCTGGATCATATCTATGAGAATCTGTGAGTGTTGTGTTGTCCAGCTGGTCTTGTGAGGTAAAACCCACTGAGATGAACAAAGACCATGTAGCAGATGTCTGATATCCACATTCTAGACAGAGATGAATCCTATAGATCAGCCCTACTCATGATCAGAAGCAACTCCCATAGAGATCAACCTGATGAATAATGAGCACAGGCAGCAGGGATGACCACACCTCAGCCATTCAGGGTCCTAAGGAACAGATGCAAAGACAGAACAGCTTGGGGGGGGTGGTCACCGCATCTGTCAGGAGTTTCTTCCTTTCCTTACCCACAAATCACCAGGCTTAATTAGTGAAAACTGTCAGAGAAATAATTTGGTCATCAAGGGACTCAAAGCAGAAATGACTTCACATCATCAACTCACTGCATTTACTTACTTTAAATGAAGCCAATTTTCTGCAAGTGCCACAGAAACAATAATGTCATAGTCCATAAGATCTCTTAGCCATAACAATGATTCTCTGACAGTTGTATTAATCAATCAATTAATCAATTAATTAATTAACTTAATTAAACAATTACACTCAACTCTCCTTTCTAACACAGAGTGACTATTTTAGGGTGCCGCTTGAGACTGATCCCACAACCACCAAGAAAATCCTACATTGGGAGTCATGTTACCCTTTCCTCATGAATCTAATTTTAGACATTTATTTATAAGTAAGTCTAATTGAAATGTTTGTGGTAGTAATAATCAAATTTCTTATTGTTTTAATATTACAGATGGAGATAATTGTTATCCTGTGGAGTCCTCAGGGTGTGGCATTTGATACTCTGAGCTCCTGCTCAGATGACACTGGGGCCAGAGTTGTGGGATTCCAAGATGACAATGTAAGAGATGAGTTCACATCATCAGGAGTCCAGCATACTCACTCCCCTGTTTCATTAAAATGGATAGTCTTTGACACAGGGTATAGATTGACATTGATTGACATCTATTGGACAGGCTTGTATGGTGCACAATACCCCTCCCACACACAGTATTTCTATTCTACGAGGCAACAAGGACCACTTAAGACATCTCTTGATCTTTGCTTTATTGTAACTCTGACATCTCTGAATCCAATCATTTCTGTCTACAAATGATTTTTGCTTTTGTTTTTTTTTTTACCTAGGAGAATGCACATAAACCTTGACTTTACAAACACTGAATATCAGGAACACAAATAATTCTGTCTTGATATCATGGCAACAATCTGACTATATTAAGACCACAATAACAAAAACAACTTCAAAGTGGGATTCTCTGGCTTTTAAAAAAAATTTTAACTCATATAAAGTCAACAAGCTGTCAAACCAAACCCTGTTGCTAGCAAATTCACTTTCTTTTTCCATGTGACCTGGCTCCTCGAACAAACATGAGCACTCTCAGTTTGAGAGTTGATTTGGTTGTCTGTTTTCCTGCTGTGTATTTATTTTCCTCCTAGAATTTCTTCTCAGAGTTCATCATTAATCGTCTTTATCCTCTGGGCCTATTCCAGCAGACCACATGATACTCAGGAAGTGTCTCCTGCACCAGGTAAAGGTGGACAGAATCTCCTTGTCCTCCAAGCCATAGTGCCCTCCTTCTCCAGTCTTTGCAAAGTAAAATGTCAACACCATCATGAACAGACTTGCTCTAATATAAACCACAGAGTCAGGACAGAAAGGAAAGAGGGTTTCCTTTATCTGTGAATTCTAGGAACAGTCAACAGAAAGATTAAAATTAGCATGAATGTTGGGTTGTTGTTAGATGTGAACTAGCTGGACTCATGCAAGGTTCCTAGGGCTGACTTCTATGGGGACAGAATGGATTTCTCAAGGAGCTGCACAGGTTTCATCCTCTACAGAACTCCATCTGGTGGCTTACCTGATGCCTCACAGTCACAGAAGATTCCTAGGACAACCTTCCTGACCTGCGCGTCATGTGGAGACATTATAAATCTGTCTATGAACATTTCAGAGCAATCCAACATGGGAATGAGTTTAATCTATTGGAGACTATGTTCTGTCAAATAAACACAGTGGGACAGAATCTGATGTTTAGTGTATGATCAATAACATTGTTAAATATTCATGCATGAGACAGCCAAAAAGAAAACCTAAATAAATTATTCATGCAGAGCCTGAGGAACTGGTGCAGAGAGGCCTTTTAAGGTTTTTCCTGACTCTACACAGAGTTTATTCCTCAGTTAACCACATACAAGGCCCAGGAGACCATCTCCTATGGCAGTTAGAACCCTCCCCTAGAAGGACACAAGATCAGTTAGTTCCTAGTATCTGTGGCACTCTCCTGGGAATGCTACAATAACAGAAATGACCCAGTTCAAAGACTCTCACCATCATCATGAAGACATTTTATCTCATAGTGGAATAAATTTCTCTGCTGGAAAACTGGACCTGCATGTTCAACAGCATATGGGGTTCTAGAGCAGGAAGGAGAAGTTTACATGTAACCAGAACCTGTCTCCAATTATAATATATTGAAATGAAAAATGACATTACTCTAAGGGAGTCTAACTGAGGAAAGGAAACACACTAAGCACAGGCTGGGGTCCATCTCCTGATGTCATCGGGAACCCATTGGAATGCAATTGGGAATTTCCCTGTCTCATAATATCACATAGTTTAATTGACATTTATTTATTTATTTATTTATTTAATTATTTATTTATTTATTCATTATTTTATCCCGCATTTTCTTTGACTATATACTACAGCTTCTAATTTTGTGTTTTTATGGGATTCAGGTCATCTCTGCATCCACATCTGTTTCTTGTGACTTTTCTTGGGCTCTTTTCCTTCTGGTTTTGTTTGTTTGTTTTTTCCGGTTCCAACGTGTTACTTTTTCTTTGACTTCTT